GATTATTACAGTTTTCTTCCTGCAAAGTAATTGGCTCCAGTTAATGTGGACAATTTCCATCCAGTCTCCAAGCTCTTTATTAAGGGTAGGATTATGGAGAAGGCAGTTATATTGCGAGTCCAGAGCCGATTATTTGGACTCTTTTCAATCAGATTTTATGTCAGGACATAGTATTGACATAGTATTAATTGCACTTGTGGATGATCTTTGGTAGTAAATAGGATAGTAGTGATGTGACTCTCTTGGTCTATTTGATCAGTAGGTGATTTTTAATACTATCAATTGTGGTATCCTTCTGGATTGATTTTGGGGTTGGGTTTGTTGGGGAGTGTTTTGTAATAGTTCTCTGTGATTGGTTCCAATCAGTTTTGATGGACAGAAGCCCAAGATCCATTCCTCCTGAGTGTGTTCCTCTTTCTCCTGTTCTATGTAATGTCAATCTGAGATTTTGGAGGTAAATAATTCAATGGCATGGAGATGGATATGATCATTCTGCTGATGACACACAGTTATACTGTATATCTAAATCCTTAGTCAACCACCTGATGATGTTGAGCCTCTTTCCTCAGTCTTTAGAAACTATTAAAATCAGGATAGGGAGGAACAGATTCAGGCTTAGCCCTAGAAAGGCTGAACAACTTTGGATTCAGGAATTAGCCATACACAAGGATTTTCCATCTTTAATTTTTGATGGGTTGCACTTTCTGTGACAAATAATGGTTCAGAATTTAGGGGATTTTCTAAACTTATGGGTCTTGTTGGAAACGCATATGGTGATTGTGACAAGGGTGGCTTTTGTCCAGCTTGCCTTTTGGCTAATTATGTCCTTTTCAGGTCTAACAGATCTTGTGGTTATTCATCCCTTAGTCACTTCCCATTTGGAATACTGCAATACATCCTACATGTGACTGCCAGACTACTCAGAAATTACAGCTGGTCTAGAATGTCTCTGAATGAATAATTATGTCTGTAATATGATTATACGATAATTCTACTTTATTAGCTACACTGTTGGTTACCAGTTCTAGTAAGATGCTAAAATACCATCAAATCAATTGTCATCTCTAAAGCCCTCCATGGATCAGGGTCTGGATGTTCATGGGACTTTTTCTCCAATTATGTCTTCCTTTTACTTGGTTTGATTGCTTTGTTGAGCTTTGATGTTCATGTGTTGATGTATGTAACTCTATCTATTTTGTTTTGTTCTGTTAATGTTGAGTTCCAGAGTGCATTTCAAAATAAAAATTGTAGGTGGATTGGTTTGTTTGTTGAATTTTGTGTGTGGACCCAGTGATTTATATCTCAACAGTGAACTTTCAGAAGAATACACTTAACAGCATGTTCTGCTTTGTGAAAACTAGCAATTACACATGTGCATGCATTGAGAAACATGTCAAGGCTATCTGCATTTATGATTGCTGGTGCACCCTGGCAAATTATTATTATTATGGTCATTATTATGATGATTGGTTACACAGTCAGCCAAATGTTTAGACTGGATTTGGCATTTTTATCCACCTATTATATCCTTCCCGAGGACTTGGGATAGACAGTGTTGATTTGATGGTATTAAATATATCGTTGCAGGATTATTATTAGATTTTAATTTTGCCTTTTTTATATTTGGTCAACTCAAAGTGTTGAACATATCTAGAATTTCTGCTTCTAGAAGTTTTTTTTATCACAACAAACTGGGAAGTGAGATGGGCTGAGAGAGAGTGACTGGCCCACAGTCACCCAGCTGCTTTTCATGCCTAAGGGAAACTAATAACTCTTTGTGTCCCGGTGTCTAGGGTAGCAAATCTAACCACTGCACCTGACAATCTGTCATTGCATCACTAGTATTCTCCATTTTAAATCTTAAAAATATATATATAGAAGTTGAACATTTTGTGATAATCCTCATATACTCTCTCTCTCTCTGTGTACACACACGTATCAACAATAATACACATGGAGGCCCAAAGTAGAAATGATACAATTTTTTTTATATTTAATTTGCAAGATGCATAAGTTACAACTGTTTTTGTGATAACTGAAAGTGTAATAGGTGGAAAGAGGACTTTAGCCTTTTCTGAAATCACTATTTGAATAGGTGTGAATCCGAAGGTTATTTTTTCATAATCAAGTAAGTTTAAGAAGAAGTTATTTTTAATTACACAATAGCAGTGAAGGTTTAAATTCCCTCTTCAAGTCTTCTGAATTTTCCAGAGCAACTTCCTCCAGTCTGAAGGTACTTAAATCATCAAGGTCATGAGTTCCCACCTCTCCAGTAGTGTGACTTACCTAATATTTATATAAAAGAAGAAAAGATTTTTCTCTTATTTCTGTCTACATTTTACTGTTAATGATAATGTATAGGGAGAGCCGAAGCAACACAGATGTATGGACCTGAATTCTGAACAATCTCAGCTGTCCTTTTGCTGTCCAGGGAATTCTGACATTTGAACTTCATCAATCTAAGGTAGTTTCCTAGCTTTCTGTTGCAGCAGCCACAATGTGGAATTCCATATGAAGGATGATATATTTGTCCTTTGGTCCTCTAGCTTTCTCTTGTCTAGTTATGATGTTGCACTTTTTGCAATCAGCTGATTTTTTTTTAACTGAAAAAAAATCATTAAACTGCCTGACAGGGCTGTCCAAAGCATTTGAAGGAGGTATGAGTTTGAACAAAGCATTCTGAAATGTTACAAGTTGTTTTGTGCAAAAATTGTTATATTGTTTTGAAAGCTATATCCAGTTGTTTGGGCATACATATGCAGTACAAGCAGTACTTCTGCTGGGAAAGTTATTGAAGTGAAATGACTGTGGAGATATATACATTTTTCTCATTAGAATTTACAGGAAACAAAATTATTCTATCAGAGTAAAAATATGCTACTGTATGCACATACCCCCTTTCAACTGATAACTTTGTAATTTCTTTGTATTGTTGTCATTGAGATGGCAAAAATGAAAGGTTTTAGAGGAGCAGGTTTTTTTTTTCATTTTAATTATTGAATGTTGCTTTAAAGCATGATGAAGGATACAGGAGAAGTTAAAACTAGCTTAGCTTTCTTACTATAGTTTTCATTTCTTTCAAAAGACAATGACTGCATAAAAAAAGATGTGTAAAGTACTGGCTCACAACAAGTTTCCGTTGCAAATTCTTTGAACTTCTCCATGGAACAAATATCTTTCAGCTCCATCCAAATGTGCTTTTTTGTTCACTAAGCCAGATGGCCAAGAAGAACCACAAATAAGAAACAACTTTCCTAGAACTAATAATTAAACCATCCGTATAAGAAATAATTAGAGATTATATATCTAGTATAAAATTGCCATATTTTTATGTTGAGATTAGAATTTATTTAATTAATTCAATGCTCAACTTTTACAAAAAATGTTTTGTCATGGTTATGAGTGACTTTAATCTATTTTGAAATAAATGTACAGCATATGGAACATAATATATATCCATTTGTTGCTCACCAATCTTTTCCCATTAAATACTGTATGCTGCTTCCCAAATAATTAAATGAATACTTCTATGAATCTGGAATTAGATTAATTTTGTTCCACATTAAGATTTATGCATCATTGCTGTGAGAAAGACCTTATCTTCTTCCCCTTAGCAGCTACTTTGTTTGTTCCTAATTTGGAAGCTAGAGAGAAAATGAGTCTTCGATCTATGATCCTCTTTCCCTCAGTTCCTCAAACATTTGAGGGTTCAAGAAGTCATGTGACATATAGTTCACAAGAATTTCTAGTCTATTTGATATAACATGGGTAGAATAATTTATATTATTAGATATTTCTTAAGTAGTTGCCAGGAGAAATGTAAAAAAAATAGTGAAGTCAATGTAAGCTAGTAATCATGAGGATGATTACTTGTGATATATGATGTGTTGTAACTTTCTAAGCAGAATAATTTGATCCAATAAGAGAAGCAATATGGTTCTCAAATATGGTTCTCAGTTTTTCATGAAAATTGATTTAGATATGACATTCAGCCAGACTTGAGGTTTGCAGAATATCTCAATTCCATTCAGACCAATGTTTATGCCTTTCAGAATTTCCTCTTCCTCTACCCCATCATCTGTTCACTGGATAAAATCTGAATACATTCTTACATATTGCTTTAGAGTCCCGTTCATTATAAGAAGCCCCTTGAAGATTGACCAAATGCATGCAGATCAAGAATGATTTGTACCCCAGCCAACATTGTCAGGATCAGAGACATCCTTTTCTCTGATACTTGTATGTACCAATAATAACAATTCAATTTTAATTTTCCTTCCCCCCCTTCCCTTCTTTTGTGGATGCGCTCTTCCTCTTTTTGCATATTCCTATGAGATACTATAAATAATGCTATGCTTTGATATTAGATAAATATAAATAGAAGTTTTGAATTATTCAACAAAGAAATATGCATATAGGGATAGTTTACAAATTTAAATAAAGCATACATTAAATAAATAAAAACACATGGTTAAAAAAATAGTACTTATATCACCATATGTCAGGAAGCTGTCAGTTTAAGATAGCTTTGAAGTTTATTTTTAAAAAATCTAATCTCTGTCCTGGTTCCTATGCAGAATAAGTTGCACCCCTCCTGGCTGGTTATTCACAGCATTTGCTAGTCAGACCTACCTCCAGTTCACTTTCCGACATTGTCTCTTCATGAGAGTGGTAACATTTTATACACATGCATTGTTTGATGCAGGGAATCAGTACTTCTGCTTTAAAAAAAGGAGCACCTTTCTATATGCAATGTTCCTTTTGTAGAAAATTCCTGTACTTGCTGTTCCTGCATTCAGACTGATAATTCAATGAGTCCCTAAAATTGTACATTAGTTTTATTTTGAATTTTTTGTAGCTTTGCAATACTTCATGGAAAATAGAAAATAAAACAGATTTTAATAAATTTTATAGATACACATATTTTAAAGCATATTATTGTTGTATTTTATTATTACCATGTATTGTTAATGTCTTGTGATATCCCTATTGTTTCACAGAGATATTTCCAAGAGATTCCAGTTTAAAAGACAAATTCATCAAACATTTTACAGGTAAAAGCTATGGTAAATATATTTAGATAACTCTGTCCAGATGTTAATTTCATCAAAGAGTATGTCTAGCAATATTCTCATGACAAAGCAACACAAAGAAATACAAAATTAGGACCATGATATGGCTAAAAAAAATCAGGAGAAAGTGACTGCTTACCTTCATTCGAATGCACACATTCATCTCTCTGCTAACAGCACGCAGCTATCCAATAACATCATCCATCCACCCATCCACCCACTCATTCACCCATCCATCCATCCATCCATCCATCCATCCATCCATCCATCTATCCATTCAATTTCTATGGCTGCCCAACTCAGTTAATAACTTTGAATCGCTTACAGTTCATAAAATATATTATGAATAAAAATAAAAAGCAATAAAAATGATAAAACCAATAAAATAAATATTAAATATCCAATTCAACATACACAAAAGATATATGGCATGCCAGAGATCAAAAAAGACAAAGGACTAAAATAAAACCTAAAATTTAATTGAATTATAATCCAAACTCATTTAAATTCATGCCTTTTTATTAATATGATTATTTTTATGTATCTAAACAATACTCTTGTTTTTGTCTTTTTTATGTTAACTTATGGTTGTGAATTATTGATTTGGGATGGGTGGCTACATAAATTTAATAACTAAATAAAATAAATAAATTGCAATTGTAATGTAATGCCTTTAAAAAATTGCATAACCAATAGCAGCCTGTTATCCTGGAACCTAAAATTGTTCTGTGTATTTGTACAAATTCCAGATTACAAAAAGTTTTTATGAACAAATGCAACTCATTGCAAAGAGATAGGGACTGAAGGAGCTGAGTTATAACATTATACTTCTTATTTATTTATTACTTTTTATTATCCCAGTTTTATTATTTTTATAAACAACTCAAGGCAGCAAACATATCCAATATTCCTATTTTCCCTAGAACAATAACCCTGTGAGGTGGGTTGGGCTAAAAGAATGTGATTGGCCCAAGGCCACCCAGCCGGCTTTCCTACCTAAAATGGGACTAGAACGTAAGCCCAAAAGAGTAACAATGACATCCAGAAGTGTCAAAAAGAAAACACATGTTCCCCAAATTAAACATTTGGTTGGCAAGTAATTGCCATTTACTGAATTTGCTTAATAAATACCTTCTGATAGTTTTCTATCAGCAAATTAAAGAAAACATAGTGGCTACCTTGATGTCCAAAAATGCAAGACTTTATGTCTCATTCAAGACTGCTTCTGTTTTTTGTTTTGTTCTTTCCAACCTCAAGGAATGTAGGAAATTGTGCAAAAGCTTGGAACTCTATTCATCTGTTTGTTGGCAGTGGCAGTGATTCTCTTAAAACTAATAGGATGGGACCAAATTTGGTAGAAGTGGAAAAGCCAGGTAAAAAAACGATTGTTCAAAAAATGGGAAAGATCCATCAAAGAACTGTAGAGAAAAACAAAAAAATAAAGAGAAACTCCCAGTGGGTATCCATACAGGAGATACAATCAGAAAGCAGCTTGTTGCTGACTGTCCATTCAAGGCCCCCTCATTTTGTTTCATACTCATATGACTGAAAGCAGTCATTTTAACATGCTGAAAGCTATGAGCTGCATTCTTTCTTTGACTTCTAACTCCATCCAACCACAAGGACTATTGGAAAGAAATTATGTAAAAGGACTTAGAACTCAACATGATATGGTAGTCCATCATCAAAATATGACCAGAATTGATCTGAGAGGAGAAGTTGGTCAAGGAAAGATGGCATTTGACAATTCACGGTATTGACTGAGGACTGCAGAGAAAAATGTTCAATAAATAATTTTTCCAATGTGTCTCCTTGGGAAAAGAATTTGAATATTGGCTCAGAATATTGCTAACTGTTCCATTCTAAATCTCCCTCCCTTTTTCTTCCTAGAACATAGATCTAGATCTGTATTGTAGATCTAGAATACATGCTTCCTATTATGTAGAGACAAATATGTCCATGGCTGGCAAAGAATTCCAGAAAACATGTTTCTGCATGCTTGTCATCTCTTGTCATTTTAATTTTAAAAGTTATATAAAATAGTAAATCATATGTAGCCAAGTCATAAAATTACATAGTATTGTATTTTGAATAGAGAATGCAAAATAAGTGATTTAAAGCAGGTTATAAATTAATCAAATACAAGTAATTAAAAATGATAATTTTTCTTATTTGAATGATGTTTTAAAATTGCCAAAACGTTGTGTCTCATTAATTTTTATGTATTATCAAACAGGTCCTGTCACATTTTCAGCTGAATGTAGTAAGCATTTCCATCGTCTATATCATAATACACGGGACTGTTCAACACCAGCTTGTAAGTTACAACTAAAATTGAATTCATGTTTCACAATCCTATCTCTAAGTCGAAGCTTTTTTTACAAGGCTATTTCACCACCCTTCTTTGAGAATAGTATGTTTATACATCTGCTACTATCTTGTCAAATAACTAAAACCTATAATAATGGCTAAAGCAGGTTATTAAATTTATTGATTTAGTGATGAAGGATGGAACTATACACTGAATAAGTATCTTATGTTTAATAACTATAAGTCAGTGTTATTGATTACTGATTACATTTGATTACTCCTTTTTGAGAATTTATTTTCTTCCTTCTCTTTAACAGTTTATCCAGTTGAGGCCTTTATTGTCTAATTGTCTACTTGTGAACAATGGAATTTTATGGGAAATTCGATTTCCATTTTTAACTTTTCATATTTTTAGTCCTCTTTTCTTATGACAGAAAATTGATTGATGAAAGTAAAATGTGTAATGTATTTTCATTCATGTATAGAATGGATTATATCTCCCTGTACTTAACAGACCAACCATATTTATTGAATAATTAATTTTATTAAAATTCCATTCAAGAATTTTAGTAACACTATTTGTGTCTACTCTCAGCAGATCTGGAGAAGAAGTATTTTATCCTTATAAACATGGAAACCATAGTTTTTAACCTAGAAGAAAAGATTGAATAAAGTGTGTTGTGGGGAAGTTTTTGCAATGTAGGAAGACTACTATAGACTTTTATAATAAATAAAATTTATTTATTGTTTACAGTCTTGTTTACAGTATTTGTAGATCAAAAAGTAGGATGTTGAAAAAAATTTTAAAAATTAAATAACGCATAGAAGAAATTTAAGAAATTAGAAGAAGTCTAATCCCTCATTTACAATGATATAGCTCATAGCATTATTGGGATATGTAACATAAAGAGCCATGAAAGATATTCTTAATTGTGTGCTGAATCATATTTCAGTAACTGCAAAATCTGTCAGCTGTTCTTTTCAGAAATAACTTGTGAAAATTTTAGATTTTAACTGATAATACGAGTTGAGTAGACAATAGCTAGGTGGCACATAATCAATCTGGGTATAATGCTGTAGCCTTACAATGCCTTTCTTGTTCTTCCTATTTATCTTAATGGAATTCCTTTTGAGAAACCTTGTAAAGTTTTCAATTGATTGTCAACAGGTACTTAATAAAAGTCAGTCATTTTATCACTTTTTAAAAATGTGGCACCCTCAATTATCTCCCAATCTAAAATAACTGCAGTCAAAAATCACGATTTTTTTTAATTGAAAAAATAGAGATAATTTAAATTATTGTAACTTTGCAGTTACTTTAATAAATTGTTCATATCAACAATTCTCTGTAAAGAACAGTCATTTTGGGGTGATTCATTACCTATTCTGGGTAGAATTTTTTGGGGGAGGAGGAAGCAGTGATAATTAATTAAATAACTAAGGCCGGTATCTTCATAGGAGGGGGAGAAGGGAAAGGAAGTTGCTGAGAAGATTGAAAATGAGCAGGCCAATGAGCTATTCCGTGCTGGTGACAAAAGGTGACACAATGCATTGTTTCTGAAGTGAGGGAGAGAGGGGCCACCAGCATTGCCTTAAATGTCACATAAAATAATTCCGAGTTCTCTGAAGATTTTATTTCTGCCGAACTATGATCAATCCTGAAATCAGAATTCTGAAGTGTACTTTCCATTCGTGAACACATTTATACTTTACATGCAGTTTTGAGAAAAAACTTTTCTATTCTGAAATTTAAATTAAACAAAAGTTCTCTTCGGGATTGAGCTACCTGTTGCTGATCAAAACTAACAACTTGCTTCTGTCATATTCATAGATTATAAAAGATGTGCAAGATTGCTGACAAGGTTGGCAATGAGTCCATTGTGCACGCAGTCATAGGAAGACAATTAGGTAAGCATTTATTTAAGCTTTAAACAGACAAATTATTAGTTTGATCCTTTTAGCTATTTTTTATCAGAAACCAATCAATAGTCAGTGCAAATTGTTTATATTGAATATTGTTGGCTTCACTATATGTTTCCTTGTGGTAGTTCTAATTAGTAGTTTTTTGTGTGTGCATCATAAAAATCTATACGGGAGCAAACTTGACATAATTCCATATCATGAATCTTTTAAAAAATGATAGAACACAACAAGCTTATAACAAAGGGAAAAGGAGATGGTGATGGCTCCCTTCATGATTTAATCACAGTGAAAATAATAATTACCTACAGTATGTGCTTTTGAATTCATTCTCATAGATTCCCACTAACATATCCAGTGTCAGGGGTCATAAGCTTCCAAAGATTCATTGTTAATACTGCATGCTCATAGAGCATGAGTCATGAGTCTAGGAGAACCCCCAGATAGAACACTGGGTCTTTCTGAGGTAGTGCAACCACATCCAGAACTAAAAATGTTAAGGTCCCAGAGCTAGAAGTTCCATGCAGCCAAAACCACTTGATTTTACCAGGATTCAGCCATAGTCTGTTCCCCCATCCAGATCCCTACAGCTTCCAGACACTGCAAAAAGGCAGTGATAGCATCACTTGAGTCACCTGGGATGGAGATATAAACTAGAGTATCATTGGTGTACTGACAGTACCTAATTCCATGATGGGAAATTATGTCATCCAGTGGCTTTACATACAGAGTGGAAAAGGTATCAAGCCCTGGAGTACACCTCAAAGAAAAGGCTAGGTGCTGGACCTTTCTCTGTAGCCAGTCCAAAAAGATACCATGGTCAATGGCATTGTAAGCTGCTGAGAGATCAAGGAGAGCAAAGATGGCTGCACTACCCCTATCCTTCTCTTGCCAGAGATGATCCCCAAGTGCGTTTCTGTCTCACAACCAGTTCTGAAACTTGACTGGAAGGGGTTTAGATAATCTGTTTTCTTCATGATCCTCTGAAGCTGCAAAGCAATCATCTTTCCTAAAGAGGGAAGGTGGAAGACTGGGTGGAAATTGTCCAGAGAGGAGGAATCAAGAAATGTTTTTTTAAAAACATTTTTAAACCAGGGTCTATTTTAACTGAAGTACCCTTGCTAGGATTGGAAGCTATCCTCTATAAAGATAGATTGCAACCAAAATGGAATTGACTAAAACATTATAATGCTAGCTTGACTGTGTTCAAACTTGTTTGCCTGGTGTATAGCTCTAAGATGGTACTGTCAGAACTAATACATCTGTGGAAAAGTGGCATACAGCTTTTTCAATTATCATACTTAGTGTGAGATGGATTAGAGGAGTTAATAGGCAAGTTAATCTTAGTCTGCATTGTTTATAAGGGCCTAACTTTGGAGAAACCCTGCTATATGTCACTATTTAGCTGACCTTGGCTATCTTGGAAACTAAGCAAAATTAGCCCTAAGCAATAATAAACAATTTCTACATCATGATGCTAAGAAGGCTGCATGGATGTGTCCATATAATCACCAAGAGATTTTGACTTTTGACTTGAAAACAGGTTCACATTTTACTTGTCTTTGGAGACATTTCAGAAGTTATTGTCATTGAAGTCTATCAACAATTTAAATGACTGAAGTATTTGATATGCTAACACTGCATGCCATGAGTTTTCTGCTACACCCAGTTCAGAGCTGTAGGAGGATAACTTACTGGAGGAAACTACTGATATTAAATTTGCTGAAGTTGCAGCAACAAATATTTTATAACTTTGAGATACACATTTATATATTTCACTAATATGTAATCATCTTATTAAAACAGTGACATTGTAGTAAAGGACTCAACCTAATTTACACATAGTTGGAAAAAGGATATTTAAAAAAATCAATTTTGTATGCAAATTTTTGAATCCTGAAAAAGTCCATTCAGGAGAGATTGCTGTTCACAAAATTGTTCATATTTTGGCTCTGTGCTAACTTTACATACCTATTTGGTCTGTGATGTTTCTCATATCTGCTGAATATTGAGTATCATCTAATGTAACCATATTCTGAAAGATTTGTTTAAAAATATAGGAGTAATTCTATAAAATATCTTTGTTTTCTATTGACTATCATTATTATTTTATTAAATTAGGTGGATACCTCTGTGATGACTGATCTTTCAGACATTCCTGCTAACACTGAATCTGATTTGCCGAGAAAGTGCCTTGAAATCTGCCCCAAGACAATAGAGAAGATATCTTGTGCTTTTTGATTTATAAATGTTTGGTACTAGATACATTTTATTTTCATATATGTTGGATATTCCAAACCTCTGTGAAAGGAACATATTTTATTTGAATTTGTAAATTTGCTGCCTATATCTCAAATCAGCCAATTTATTTAAATATATTGTATATAATGACTACTAATATGCTACCTGTTTTAAATATATGCAGGGAATTAATTGATGTTTGTGTTATCTTGTTTCATTGTATTTTATTGCTCAGGCTCTTAATTTCATTATTTGCACTAACTTGAAATTCAGAGGTCTAAAGTAACTGAAAAAGCTGCAAAAGGAATGGTTTACTTTCAATAGAAATGTTTTATATTATGATGCTTTGAATTAAGTGTATGTATGTGTCCTTGTGTGCAATATATGAGTGCATGTGTGTATGTATATTTTGCACATCACAATCAAATGCACATAAATGCTTTATAAGGCTATTTTGGATTACCATCAGTTACATTTGTACTGGCACTTAACAAAAAATGTTATAAATAATATAAATATAAAAGACTGGAAGACTGCAATGCAGCTTTGGTGGAATAAAAGCAAAATAAAAGGTGTTAACAGTTTATGTTCTTATTGATAAATTTGGATAAATTTCAGATATGGGAAAGCCTAGTGAATTTGAGTATCACTGTGATAATAATGGTGTGATGCTTGATTCCCTAATTTCTATAATTATCCCAGATTTAAATGTTTTAATTTTGCATACATATAAGCAAAGGGTAAAGTTTACAATGCATAGCTATAATACCCAGCCATCAGTAACTGCATTGAAATGAATACATTCTTAAAGCCTGTTAACAAAGAAATTTCTAAGCTTTTTGTATAAGAAGCTAAGGGTCTAATACCAATAAAGGAGAATATTTGTAGCTCAGAGTTGAAATGAGGGGTTCTTGGTGCTCTCTGAGCTTTTTTTTTTTTTTTTTTTGCAAACCTTTCATTACCCAAACTATGTAACATCATCAGTGCTAGTGGGTCCAGTTCTATGAATTTGATGGTAGAAACCAGGGCCTAAGAAGAGAATGGGAAAAAGTTTATCGAGTAGGTTTGAGACAATTAATAAGCAATTCTAAAGTTTGCCAAGGTAAGTATCAGGTATTGCTTGGACACTGGTCCAATTTATGACTTTCATGCTAAAAATGCCTCTAGTATAAAAAGATTTTAAGATTATCAGAGATTTTAAAAATCTGAAGATAGGATTATTAAATATATCTGATGATCAGAATCAAAATTGCAAAGTAAAGTCCCCATCAAATTTCTATTTTCCGTAGACAACCTAATACTGCTAAACAATGGAAATGTCTAGATGATATTTCAATTGAAAAATGGTATAAGATCTAATGTAAATTGTTCCTTAAGAAAGTTTCTAAGAAAAACCATTGCTTGACAGTGCGAAAAAGCAATTCATTATTCAACGAGGATTGGTAGGATTTTATTATTGCCAAGAAACTTCCTTGTAACACCCTGTGTCAGAAATAATTGGAGAATTAAAATTTACAAGCATCATATATATTTTAAGTTTAACTAAAAATAAATCTTTAAAACATAATAACAAAACAAGTACAAGTTGGTGGATCAAAGTGTGAATTACATGGATTAAACTTAGAAAATGAAACAAAGTAGATGTAAAAGGAAACTATGAACTGGAAAACAGCAAAGTGAGAAACAATTTAATATGTTTAACTGCACAACCGGTGGACGAGTGTACGAAGTTCCATTTGCCCATTATATGAAAGGGAGGTTGGGGAAGAGAGATTGCAAATATTGCAAATGAAGAAAAAAAAATCAAATTTTCAAGCAGAAAAAGAATTAACGAAGCTTTCAAAATAGCCTTTCATGTAAAATTTGAAAAGCCAAAGTCAAACCAAACCAAATCAAAATAATGTGTATGCCAACTTTTACGTTACTTTAACTTTTGATTGGGAACTGCACAGAGTTGGTTATAAGATAAGCAGCTATAAAAACATTTTAATTAAATAAACTGAAGGCAGGCTTTAATGTAAAAATGAGAAAGAATCAGGAAAGTTATTTCAAACAGATGTGGAAATATAACTAGAAAAATGAAAAAGTTTTTTTTTTTAGAAAGTTAGAAAACTCAGAATTTTCTCCCCTAAAGTAAGAATATTAAAAAATAAACAAATAAAAATAAAAATCATGGAAGAGATATTTGAGAGAGGCAGATGAGACTTAAAGGAAGATATAATAAACTATGATACAGTCTTTAGCAGGAGTTCCCAACTGGGCTGCACAACCGGTGGACGAGTATACGAAGTTCCATTTGCCAAGTGCTTCCACCTACCACTGCTGCTGTCGGTGGAACTGGAAAGGATGGGGACCACTACTACAAAGGCTACAGCAAGACCCTTTACAAATGAGAGTAACAGGAACATTTTTTTAAAAAATCACTATAAAGGAGTATCATATATAATAGATGAGCTGTCAAATAGGAAAGTACTAGATGCAGATGAAATGCCAACTGAACTGCTTAAAGTTGGAAAAGAAGTGAAAGTGCTGCCAACCAAATCATTATGATAACAAATATAGAAGTTGGGCTTTGACACTGAAGAGAAGAGCAGCACACAATTTAGGACTCCACTTCTTAGACAGAACTCCTATTCAAGGAGCAGTTGGCAGCTGTGGCCAGAGGGTCTTTGTATAACTGTGCCAATTGTATCACATTTTGGTTTGGGAGGTTCTGTTTATGATCACTCACTACTCCTGAGTGGATTATTGCAACAGCTCTGCCTGGAGTTGCTGTTGAAGACATTTGGAAACCATAACTGGTCCAGAATGTAGCAGCATGTATAGTTGCTATCTGGACGTGTCTCACTATGTCAATATGACACTACTACATGAACTATACTGTCTTTCAGTTAATTATCTAGTGTAATTCAAGGTACTGGTTATCATTTCACTCCTATATAGCATAGGAGTAGGTTATTTGAAGGACCACTTTCACTTTAGGGCACTTGCCCAGCCGACACACTTGGATGGGTAGAATACACTCTAGGTCCCGTCACTGAAACAATGGCATCTTGTGGGACCAAGAAGCGAATATTCTACATGGTGGCCCATATTTTATGGAAATACTTCCTGACATATAGTTGGTCCTGATCCTTCTGCTCTTTAGAAAGGCTGTGAAGATCTTTGTCTTTTCCTGGCCTTTGGGTTACTAGAGTCCAATTGGTTGATGGTGATACACCATTTTACTATTCTATTGTTTCGTGCATGTTGTTAGTACATGTATTGTAGTTTTATATTGTTTTTGTAGATTTTGTTGCTTTATCTGTTTCTGTTTTTTTTTTTTTTAAGATGCCCAGAGTCACCCTGGTTGAATTGGGTGCATATAAATGTTTTAAATAAATATTAATACTAACATTTGTCAAATTCCAATCAGCAGTGCATGTGCACTTGCACACACACATGTCTGATAATGTATTTTATTCCTTTTTCTATTTATTTATTTTGATTTCGTCGATTTTTAGAGCAACTTATCAAACAAAGTGACTCTAGGCAGTATGATATAGGTGAGGGATTCCTGTTTATAATAATAGAGTTCTATTTTCATTATTATTGTATTTTATAAATATACATTCTATTTATATGCAATATACATGCTCTGTGTGGGCCTGTCCTTGAAGACCACTTGGAGGCTTCAAATGATTCAGAATGTAGTACTGTAAGCAGTGAAGAGCAAGCCACATTGCGCTCATTTATCACCTCTGCTTTGCAAGCTCCTTTAGTTGTAATTTTGTTATGGGAGTGATTTAAGGTGCTTATTGTTACCTATAAAGTCCTTTATGGCATAGATTGTCTCCCAGGTATTGTGCTTGCCCAATTCAATTCTGCAGACTTGTTGTGCTATGAATTTCTTCAATAAAACAATGTCATCTATTGGGACTTCAGAAATGCATTTTCTCTGGAGCAGCATCTGTTCTCTAGAACAAGATTTTCCTGAAATCTGGATGCCCCTAATTCTGCTGTTGTGGAGAAAGCCCTCTTCACTCAGGCTCTGACAGAGAGAGTCAGGCTTTATAGTTTGTTCTATTGGTTAAGGCATTGGGCTTGAAAACAAAAGACTATGAACTGTAGTCCTGCCTTAGATACGAAAACCAGCTGGGTGACCATGGGTCAGTCACTTTCTCTCAGTCCAACTCACATCACGATGTTTTTGGGAGGCAAAGTAGGAAGAGGAAACAGTATTAGATATGCTCTCCATTTTGAGTTATTTACAAAAATAATAAAGAGGATATAAATAAAATTAAACAAATACATACATACATACATACATACATACATACATACATACATACATAGTTTGCCATCTTTTATCTTTATCTTTTATTGAAATTATTTAATTTCTTGTTTGATTGTTGTAAGATGCCTAGAGTTGTTAATAGTTAAGGAAAAAAAATAAAAACCTTTTTTTATTATTATTTTTTATTTTTTTTATTGAAATTTTTATAAACATTTTACAATAAAATCCCTCCCCACCTCTCTCCCTCCCCCCTCCCACTAACCTCCCCTTCTCAGAGCTGAATACAGAGCTAAAAACAACAAAAAACCATAAAAAATTAAATAAACATCAAACAATTGTACATAAATCCTAAAAAGTTTTTAAACCCCTTTAACTCCATTACAATAAAATCAACAAATCTAAACATAACAACTTTATACAATAAGTTATTCAAAAGCTAAATAATACTTTCTAATCCCATATTTGTTCTGAACAAAATTTACCCATCTTTTCCATACAGAGTTGTATCTCTCTTGTGAATGGTCTTTCAGATTAGCCGATATTTTTGCCATTTCTGATAAATAAGAAACTTTAAGAAACCATTCCTCTAAGGTAGGCAAGGAGTCTTTTCTCCAATATTGCCCAATCAATAACCTTGCTGAAGATAAAAACCTTTTTGAAAAACTGGAAACCTTATCTGGACCTTTGTTGAAAGAAAAAAAAAGATTTAATTGATGATTTATGGGTTTAAGATTAAAAAGGGTTAAAGAGGAAGGGCAAAAAGTAAGATGAGTGGATGGAAGTCATAATTTAATGTTTAATTAAAGTATTTTTAAAAAAGAGTCAGGATGCGAGATTAATGAACTATTATTATGTGGGATTAATCTACAGTTAAATTCACATTCCGAAACTGGTGAAAAACTTAACAATTCAAATCCTACCTTAGGATCTAAGAATTATTAAGGTAGCATCTAAGAATAAAGGCAGTTCCAAGCAGAGTAGGTTTTTTTTCTGTCAATTCAGAAAATACTTGTGACAAGCTCATGATTAACTCTCCTAGCTCCAGTAACTGAGGATATGGAAATTGAAATCCCCCAACACCAACAGAAAAAGGGGCTATAATACTAGCCTGGAGGCTGGGTGTAAAATTCAAAGTAGGACTTCTAGCTTGTTCCTTAGGCTGAACTTTAAACTAAAGAACTGAGTCTTTAATCACAGATAAGGTCTTCCTGAAGATCAATTCTTTGCTTCAACATACAAATGCATCAAATGCTTGATATCAAGATTCCAGAAGGTCCTAAAACTTCCAA